CACATACATTTATGCATTCTAGTTAGCAACTTAACTCTATCAACACATTATACATTCATTTCTACTCAAAGGTAGTTATACCACTACCAATCGAGACTACTCTTTCCTTACTTCCTTTCCTGATCTTCTCGTGGTCTCTTCACCTGTGTTCAAAAGTAATGGAGTGAGACATATGTCCCAATAACTCGAAGGTAACCCTAATTACCAATTAGTAGGCAAAAACATAAACAAGTGATAAAGTAGTATATGTATTAATAAAAACAATATCATATGCATATACAAGAATTCATTCTCATCAATCTTGTCATGCTCATGCAATGCATTCCTAATTCCCTTTAGTAGAGTAATCTTTACACCCAAACTAGGACTTCTAGTCATAAGAAATAGGGCCTACCATCCATACCATTACTCAGACCAGGTCATTTTCTTTTCATATGGGTGGTCTCCTAGGTTTGTCATGGTAAAGTCAAGCTCTATACTTTAGATCATCACTATAATACCCTCACTGATATTACCATACGCTCCACTACAATCTTACTAAGCAAATCAACATCATTAACTTTAAATATTTGAGTTGAAATTGTTGAAAACATTGGGATCCCAATAAAAGATTTTCAGAAATCTTTGTATAGCTTACACAAGTATAATCTTATTATACACAACAAAAGCAATAAAGCATTATGCATCAAAGATCTAGAAAACATGTGTATCATTAAAAAATAAAGTGAAAATTGGCACCATGCCGCAGCAAGTGCCACATGCACCATGACATGTGGTACAGATGCCATAGTCGCTCGCTTTGTGCCATGCGCCATGGCATGCGAGTACATGTGCCGCAGCCCCACACACCTGAATTTACTGTCAAATGGCAGTTTCTAATACAAAATCCAGATGCGCGCCATTTCCATATACGAAGTCTGATTGGGATAGTTTAAGTACTCACATGAAGCTTGTTTTTAAGTCTAACTAATGACACTAGTTTTATCCCAATCTGATATTTGTATCAAAAACTGAACACTAAAGTGTACTTTGACCATTTTTTGTCAAATTTTTATCACTTAAGTGTCTGAATTCAAAACCAATTGTCATTAGCCACTTTTTAGGCCTTAATCAAGTCTAAATGGACAAAACACACCTAATTGACCATACACATGCACAATATAACACACATACACAACTTTGTCCTGTAAATCGCCTATTTCTTCCTTTGGGCTAAATTCACATTTTATTTCTTTAATCTCATATATGGCCTAAACACTACAAATAACCTTCACCCATCTCATGTTAACGCATAATTACATCCATCCACTAGCCCTTCCAATCTTCTCATCATTCACACATATATAAGGGCTAGGGAGTTCAAAATCACAAAACATACCACAATCATATCTTATGCAAATGTGTAAATCCTATGATAACTTATACATATACAAAACTAATATCAACTAAATTCATTACATCATATCTTACAAAGATTTAGGAGAAAGATGTCAACTCAACCTATATCCTTTCCTTTTGACCCACTAGTACCAGAACCTGAAAATGCAAATAACCACAGGTGAGATAAAAATCTCAGTAACTAAATATAGCTCATTAAATGTCTATTATCACCAATAACCATGCCAAGGTGACTTAAATCATCACATAATACATATATATAACATACCAATACTAAATTATCAATTTCGCATATAAATTGCATTTCAAATACATTTACACCATAGCATGATTAACTATCCACCGATCGTCTAAAGCTTCTTAACACGAAACCATAGGCTTTTCTGGTCAACCACTTGTTGACCCAAGCTCACTTTTAGTGGAAAAAATACCTGGCCAAAGGTAATCTAACCCACTTACAAACTATGATTTTCCTCTACACACACTTGTGATAGAGGTGTCATTGACTCCTAACCGCACCCTAATGGGTAATAGGGAGTTGCCAAACTACCCGGATGTCCCATGGTAACAATCTCATAATATGATGTACCAGATTACCTACGGTAACAGCCCGTATAATGCTGCATCGAATGTCCCATGGTGCCAGCCCGACCATATAAATTTTTTACATTCACATATCTCCACACACACACACACACAACCCCACATATCTTGGGTAAACTCCCACCCCCTATGATCATGCTCTTTCACAACTTGCACTACTTATACCCCTTTCCATAACTTATATACTTCCATATCATATATATATATATATATATATTTATATCCATTGAAATCAATAACTTTTCTAATCCATTTCATATGCAAAATTCATGCTAAAACCATTTCAATAACAAACATACATAAAACTCATAAATTCACAATTTATCCTTTGATATTCATTTCTACACAGTTATAATAGTTAATAAACATAATAAACTATATGATTACCTCAGCCCTTCTGTTTGATAGAAAGGGTTACCTGTGTAACTTTCAACCCGATTCAAGCTCCTTTCACGTAACTCGTGTGTCACACATTTCAAGCTTAATCGTTATTAAATCCACATTTCACACTCGATTATGCACATTACCATTAATCACCCTTCATTTCAAGCTATAACATTTTCTAGCAATTTTCTCTCACTATTCTCTCTAGATTAGGGTGATTCTTGCCTACAACTTTAAAACTTTATCATTTTAACTTTAACCAATCACAGAGCACTAGTTTAGTTCAAAAGAACCTTTTTATTACTATTGCGTAAGAAATCAACTCCTTAAAACTCCTAAATTCACTTTCTCATTGATTAAAACTAAGAGAAAATAGGGTAGATTTAGAAGCTAAGGCAGTACATGACTTACCCAATAAGTAACAAGTTAGAAACACCATCCTTGCTCCTGATTTAGCTTGCCCTAACACACCTTTGGTTCTTCTCCATGCCTAATCTCTTCTCTCAGGTTCTCCTTTTTGTGTTTACACAAGCTAGACATGTCTTATTAATCTAATTTCTGTACCGCGGCACATCTATCACCCACCGTGGTGCGTGGCACAGTAATGGAAATCTTCACTATGCTCACACGCTCTGCTTCAGAACTCCGCTCTTTTACTCATATATGTTCATATAACATCCTAATGAGTCAATATATCACTTCACCACTCAGAACCCTAATCCTATATTAAATTACTAATTCATCCCCAATCAATCATTAACGCAGGATTAGAAATTTAGGATGTTACAATTCTCCCCTCTTTTTCAGAATTTTGTCCCCAAAATTGAAACAACCATTAACTCACACTTACCTAAGGGAATAACTGAGGGTATAACTGTCTCATCTTAGCTTCTATCTTCAGATCGCATCACCAGGAGTCATATGCTTCCAAAACACTTTCACCAGTCAAATAGTCTTATTTTTCAATTGCTTATCTTTCACATCCCCTATTCGTTTCAGTTTTACCCTATAGGTCATATTTTCTCACAATTCTACTTCTTCAAGCTCAATCACATGAGAAGGATCTGGTTAGTAGTTCTTGACTTGAGACACGTGGAACACATTATGAAGCCTAGATAACTGTGGAGGTACAGCAATTCAATAGACAACTAGTCCAATCCTCTCTAGGACTTCAAACAGATAGCAATTCAATAGGCAACTAGTCCGATCCTCTCCAGGACTTCAAACAGACCCATGAATCTAAGAGTCAATTTCTTGGCTCTAATTGATCTCCTAATTCCTGTCACAAGCGTAACTTTCAAAAACACGTATCACCTACCAAAAACTCCAATGGTCTTCTTCTTCGATCAACATAGCTCTTTTGCCTGCTTTGAGCTATCAATAACTTCTGTCATATCAACTCAATCTTTTGAGTGGTCTGAACCATAATATCAGGTCCTACTATGCTTCTTTCACTCATTTTAGTCTAACACACTGGCGATCTACACTTCCTTCCATATAAAGCTTCATATGGAGCCATTTGAATGCTAGAATGATAACTATTATTGTATGAAAATTCGGCCAATGGCAAATAGCTATCCCAACTACCAAGCATCTCTAGCGCACAAGATCGCAACATATATTCTAGAGTCTGAATAGTTCGTTCTATTTGTCCATCAGTTTGAGGATGATAAGTGGTACTAAACTTTAAAGTAGTACCCATGGCTCTATGTAACATTCCCTAGAACCTGGATTTGAATCTTAGATCTCGATCAAAGACTATATCTTTAGGCACTCCATGTAAATGTACAACTCTCAAATATAGGTCTCAGCTAACTTCTTTAGAGAATCACTAATCCTCATGGCTAAAAAGTGAGTTGACTTAGTAAATCGATCAACAATCACCTAAATAGCATCATGCCCCGACTGAGTTCTTGGTAATCTAGAGATGAGATCCATGAAAATGTTGTCCCATTGATAGGAAATTAGTCGCTTATCCTCAAAATTATACTAAAGCTAACCCTAATGCAATATAGGGCCAACCCTAGGTCATCTCCCAAGGAATGGTTTTAAGTCTAATTGAAAGTTATCTAGTGAAATAAATCAACCAAAGTTTGTAGGAATTTAGTTATCTAGCTAATTATCTAAACTAATTACCTAATATGCAAGTAATTAAAATGCTAGTGAAAGTGAGTGAAATGAACTTTCCTTTTTACAATAATGGAACCCTAGAGATTAGTTGATTTTGGACTCATTATCTTCTCATGATTAGGCTAAGTTTAGCTTCCCTTTCCTCTTGACTAAAGCTGTCATGACTTAAGAAAATTATCCTAAGCCAATTAACCTAATTAGCTAACCTCCCTAGGTCTTAGATTAAAGTCCCTAGTTCAATTAACCAATTGGTGAAGACATTAGCCAAGTGATTCATTCAAAATCCTCTCTCAACAGCCATGGTCAAACACATAAATTGAGCAACCACAAGATTATGTCAAGCTACTCAACAACACAAGCATTAACACCACAAGATTATGCAATATTAACACAAGAAATTCACTAATTGAAAAACACAAGATTATGTGCCAAACAAAGAGTGGCAAAATTCAGTCATGGCTGTCCAAGGAAGAAATTAAATGAAACAATCCTCTCTCTTTACATCAACATCAAATTCAAATTAGAATTTATAAGCTAAGATGATTAAACCCTAGATTAAGGAATCTAACCATCTAGTAAAAAGAGAAGAGGATAGGAAACAAAAGAACTTAGCCAATTTGAAGCTCAAGACTCATCCTCCATCTTCATCTCTCTAGGATTCCACAAAGAAACTTAGCCAATCTTCATCTTCAAGAACCCTAGTGATTGCTTGTGAAGGCCAAACTCCATAGCTCTTGAATGATGAAAATGAGCTTCAATCCTTGTGAAAATGGAAGGGATGGAACGAAAATAAAGAGAGGAGAAGAATGGTATGAGTTTTGTGGAGGTTTGGTGGCTGAAAAATGGAGGTTAGGGTGCTGGAAAATGAAGAACAAAAGAGAGAAAATGAAGAACACTATGAACAAGAGAGAGAGAATGTGGAAGATGAATGAGATATGTGTTGGATCCCATTTGAGGCTTAAAATGGCGTGCTCCTTGGTGTCTCCCATCAGCTGAAGCTTAATTAAAATAAGGAAAAAGAAATTAAATGTAAATGGGAGCCTTGTCACACTTGCAAGGTGGCAACTTCCTATTGGTTTGTAGATGATTCCAATGTGTGCCTAATTTCCCATGTGTCATCCACATCATTTTAGCTGATTTAACCTCTCAAAATAATCATAATTCACGTGCAAACCATCAGCCATTGACCTCAAGGAGTGTTGACCTCAATTGCCCAATTGATGCACAAGTCACATGCCACCTATGTCACATAAATCACATAATTCAATTAAATAGCATATGATATAATAAAATCTAATTCATGTCCAGAATTAAATTCATATTTAGAAGGGGGAATTTATTAAATTAACCAAGTTTCAGGCTGCACAAAATTATATAAAAATTTTCACACAAAGGCAAACCAAAAACTAGGACAAACTAAGACACTTAAGAAAGTGTTGACTTTTTTATTTAATTACTCCCAAACTAAAATGAATTTTAAAAATATAATTTCACCATTCATCAACTGGACATAAAATGCACTTTGTCAATTTTTCTTGTACATTTTCTCAAAATTTCATTTTTTGGACCAAAATGCCCCTAGTGCACTGATCTTAGAAACTTAGGCAAAGTTCCAAATCTAATGCAATGTGTGCACTTGAAGGTGATAAATAATTAATAAAATGGTCCTAATTGACAAATAAAAGTGGGTAACAAATGTGTTCTATCAATTCCCCCACACTTAGCTTTTGCACTCCGGGCAAAATCAAGTGAAAAAGGTCCCAAAAGAAACTATAAGACAAAGAAATAAGAGAAAAACATTGTTTCAAGTCACTAAAATACTAGCTCATGAACTTCTACAAATTATCAATCAATGTGGCAATAATTACGAAAGAATTATGCACATCACAAACAAACCGTTACCAAGAATCAATGTCAAAGAGTAAGCCTCTCTAGGTTAAGTGTTTGCTCTCATCACTCAAAGTGTATAAGGTATTAAATTTCACTCAAAATTTCTTAGGATAAACCCTACTATGAATTTGTAACCCTTCTACATCTCCATCACTAAATAGCACTTGCAATCAAGAATCAAATGGACTTTATTAGGTTGTGATATAGGTAATGAAAGGATGTCTAAGAAATGCATGTATATATAAAAAAAAATAGGGTTAGCATCAAAATAATGCTAAATCAAGATATATCCCCTTAATATGCAAAGCATAACCTAACTCAATTGAGTGAACACCTTAACACAATGAGGATGGAAAGAAATGATAAGAAATAATAAAACAAATGGAATGGATGAGCTAGGCAACTTTTTATTTTTATTTTTATTTTTTTTTTTTCTTTCTTTTCTTTTTTTTTTTCTTCTTCTTTTTTTTCTTTTTCTAGCAACTTTATTTCTTTTCTTTTTGACTATATTTTTTTTTTCAAATCTATCTTTGTTTTTTTTTTTTTTGGTTGCCCCTAACTCTTTGAAAACAATGGAAGTAGTGGATAGAGAAATGATAATAAGCATCCACTCATTTGATCTAGGACATGCAATGAATATTAAAAAGACATATAAAAGTGTAACATGCATTCCTTGGGGAAAAATAGGGTGAATATTTTTTTTTTTAAGAATCAAACCAAAGGCTCAAAGTGGCTAACAAAGGATAATAAATAATAATAGGTTGGCTATTTGGCTCTTGGCTATTTTTTATGAATGCCATCTCTCATCTCCTATCAAACAAGTGCAAGATATATGGTCTTAATTAAGAAGTGAAACAAATTCTAGAGGGTAACATCACTAAGGAATTAATCACACATGAGTGTTTAGCCTCTTCCATGAAAGGGTAATATGCCACTCTAATCCATTAATTCAAGGTAAAAGAATGTTCACTTCACACCTATTCAATCCTAAAAATTACCACATCTCAAGAATCAAAATATCCATTCAAGAGCTAGGTAATTAAGTAACCTCAAACAAAACAAAACAAAGCAATTTTTTTTTATTTTTTTAATAATTTTTTTTTTTTGCAAAACCAAACAAACAAAACAAACAAAACCAAACAAACAAAACAAAATGTTTATTTCTCTCCCCCACACTTAAATCATGCATTGTCCTCAATGTATGTATAGACTAGTGATAAAATAAGGTGAGATCAATAATGAATGCATAACAAAAGTGTGGTCTAGAAATTTTTTTTTCAAACTAAAACACAAAACAAAGAAGTCAAATAAAACAAATAAACTCTAACTTTCCTACTAGGTTCATCTCCCCCACACTTGCAATTTACTCAATCAACAAATCAAAGCATAAAGCAAAGTAAAGTAAAAAGAAAGGGTGAAGAAGATACAACCTAGTTTAAATCTCCACAAGCTCTTGAAGTTGAAATTTTCATCTTTGAGGAGTAACATGAAGCTACTCATTATCATCTTCATTCCAAGCATCTTAGGTGGAGGCTCAAGATCAATTTGTAATGGCTCCAAGATGTATGGTGTAGAATCTTTCATAACTTTATGTGGTTGATCATCTTCATGGTTAGCCAAGGTCTCTTCCATTGCAATGATAAATCCTCTAAGTACATGGGGGTTCTTGGCCATATCATCATTTAGACCTATAAAATCAACAAAGAACCCTTCCTCAAGCATATTGGGTTCTAAAGAAGTGCACTCATGATTAATTTCACTCAAACATACATCATCAATTATTTTATCAAGTAAATGATTGCTACTATTTTCAAGCACAAATGAATTAATTTCTAAACAAATAGGGCATGGAGAATCATGTGAACAATCACAAGTGAATAGGAAATTAGAACAAGTACTATGAAACAAAGCCAACTCATCATCAAAATCATCAAGCATTAAATCAATATTATTCTCATTACTATTTGGCTTTGTAAAATCAATTCCTTGATTTTCAACCTCCTTGTCATCTTGAGTTATTTTCAATTCCTTGTTCAAATCCTTAGTAGGAGCTACAGCCTTTTCAAGTTGAGCAAGTTCCTCTTTGAAATCAAGAGATGGTTTGGCTACATTGCCTTGTTCACCTACAAAAGAAGGTAAACAACCTTTCTCAAGCACATCATGGTTAGAAGAAACAAGTGCATGTGCACTATTAACAATATCACAAGAAGGAATTGGAATTTCAAGCATACAAGATACATCATCGCCACCATCAACATCCATTTCATTTTCTTTATTCAAGCTAAGTGAAGAGTCAACACTTTCAATGATATTTGAATTTAAATCAAGAGAATTATCATGTGAACTCAAAGTGTTTTTCTCCCAAGGGTATACTTTTTCACAATATGATTCATGCTCAAACATCCAAGGTGATTCAACTATAATTTCTTCATCTACGTCATCATCATTTAAATCATTATGCTCATCATTAGATAAAGTCAAATGTGAAGAAGAATCAACCTCAATAGGAATAGGAGAAATTACCTCTTGAAGTAAGGGTTGGATTGACTCCTTCTCTTTTGGAGATTGAGTGGCTTGAGGTGTATTTATATTCTCAATAGCTTCATGAGCAACTTTTTGTGTGTCTTCAACTTGAAACATGTAATTTCTCTCTTGTGAGGCTTGGGCTACTCCATGTGGTTCACAATATCCTTTTAGAATAGGACAATCATAATAGAAGTGGGAGATAGCCTCACAATGCACACAATAAAATTTACCCCTTTGTGCATATAATTTTTCTAGATGCTCAATGTCAATGGATGGTGTACTCTCAACATGAGTGCTTAGATTGGATTCAAAACTCATGGGATTGAAAAATTCATAATTGTGACTTGGATGGAAATGATCATGATATGGGGGTGGATAATCAAAGTTATATTGTTGAAATTGATTATGGAAATGGGATGTATGGTCAATGTTAGGTGCTAGAAATGGATGGGAATGGATGTCAAATGAATGATGGAATGAATCATGATCATGAAACCAAGCCATAAAATGCAATGAAATTTATATCCACAAGCAATGATTCAAATTCAAGCTCAAAATGATGGAAAGACCAAGGAAGCTCAAATGATATGCCCTTTGCAAGTGTATGAGTGGAAATGCAAGCAAACAAAAATCAAGAGAAATTTTTTTTTCTTTTTTTTTCTATTAGAATTAAAAACAATAAAAATAAAAAAAATCAAAAACAACACCAAACAAGTAGAAAGAGAGTTAGAAATGCTCAATCAAGAAGCTTTGACAATTCTGAAATTTGCACAGTAGGCTTTCTGGAGATAGTGAACTTGTGGATTTTTTAGCAGCCAATCCATATGAGAAATTCACCTGAAACTTTTATGAGATACACAAGAGATATTCAGAAAAATTATATAAAAATTTCAGATTACAAATCCCTCCCAATCGTTCCCAGAATTTTTCACAAGTTGGTCCACAGGTCTGGAGAAACAGGATTTCGTCCAGAAGACCTTCAGAGCTTCTAACAAACTTTCAAATAGGAAAATGAAAAAATTGAAGAAAATCCTAAACACAAGAAACAAATATAAGAAGTGATAAGAAAAATGAAACTCAAATCAATCAATTTGAACGCACAAAGAGGAAGATATGCTAACTCAAAGTTGAAACAGGGTTTTGGGAATCCTCTGTAATGGCTCCTTGGACCTTGTTAGATTGTAAAATTTTCACAGGACACTTCCCACGTCCAAAATTGACCAAACCAATTTTAAAGTGAAGCTAAGATATAGAGCTTTCAATGAAATAAATTTCAAGTTCAAATTCCTCAGACTCATTCCCAGTTAATTTTTCAATTTCAGACAGAGACACTAGAAACAGAGTATTTTCAGCTCTACACCAAACCAACGAAAATTGCACTAATTTTTTTTTTCAAAACAGAATAAAAACACTCAAAACACACAAAAAACACTAAACAAAACACAAAACACAAATTTTTATAATTTTTTAAAAAATTTTCCAGGAACACTAAAAATGTAAATTAAGTACTAAACAACCTTAGAATTAAACTTAAACCATTCCCCGGCAACGGCGCCAAAATTTTGATAGGAAATTAGTCGCTTATCCTCAAAATTACACTAAAGCTAACCCTAATGCAATATAGGGCCAACCCTAGGTCATCTCCCAAGGAATGGTTTTAAGTCTAATTGAAAGTTATCTAGTGAAATAAATCAACCAAAGTTTGTAGGAATTTAGTTATCTAGCTAATTATCTAAACTAATTACCTAATATGCAAGTAATTAAAATGCTAGTGAAAGTGAGTGAAATGAACTTCCTTTTTACAATAATGGAACCCTAGAGATTAGTTGATTTTGGACTCATTATCTTCTCATGATTAGGCTAAGTTTAGCTTCCCTTTCCTCTTGACTAAAGCTGTCATGACTTAAGAAAATTATCCTAAGCCAATTAACCTAATTAGCTAACCTCCCTAGGTCTTAGATTAAAGTCCCTAGTTCAATTAACCAATTGGTGAAGACATTAGCCAAGTGATTCATTCAAAATCCTCTCTCAACAGCCATGGTCAAACACATAAATTGAGCAACCACAAGATTATGTCAAGCTACTCAACAACACAAGCATTAACACCACAAGATTATGCAATATTAACACAAGAAATTCACTAATTGAAAAACACAAGATTATGTGCCAAACAAAGAGTGGCAAAATTCAGTCATGGCTGTCCAAGAAGAAATTAAATGAAACAATCCTCTCTCTTTACATCAACATCAAATTCAAATTAGAATTTATAAGCTAAGATGATTAAACCCTAGATTAAGGAATCTAACCATCTAGTAAAAAGAGAAGAGGATAGGAAACAAAAGAACTTAGCCAATTTGAAGCTCAAGACTCATCCTCCATCTTCATCTCTCTAGGATTCCACAAAGAAACTTAGCCAATCTTCATCTTCAAGAACCCTAGTGATTGCTTGTGAAGGCCAAACTCCATAGCTCTTGAATGATGAAAATGAGCTTCAATCCTTGTGAAAATGGAAGGGATGGAACGAAAATGAAGAGAGGAGAAGAATGGTATGAGTTTTGTGGAGGTTTGGTGGCTGAAAATGGAGGTTAGGGTGCTGGAAAATGAAGAACAAAAGAGAGAAAATGAAGAACACTATGAACAAGAGAGAGAGAATGTGGAAGATGAATGAGATATGTGTTGGATCCCATTTGAGGCTTAAAATGGCGTGCTCCTTGGTGTCTCCCATCAGCTGAAGCTTAATTAAAATAAGGAAAAAGAAATTAAAATGTAAATGGGAGCCTTGTCACACTTGCAAGGTGGCAACTTCCTATTGGTTTGTAGATGATTCCAATGTGTGCCTAATTTCCCATGTGTCATCCACATCATTTTAGCTGATTTAACCTCTCAAAATAATCATAATTCACGTGCAAACCATCAGCCATTGACCTCAAGGAGTGTTGACCTCAATTGCCCAATTGATGCACAAGTCACATGCCACCTATGTCACATAAATCACATAATTCAATTAAATAGCATATGATATAATAAAATCTAATTCATGTCCAGAATTAAATTCATATTTAGAAGGGGGAATTTATTAAATTAACCAAGTTTCAGGCTGCACAAAATTATATAAAAATTTTCACACAAAGGCAAACCAAAAACTAGGACAAACTAAGACACTTAAGAAAGTGTTGACTTTTTTATTTAATTACTCCCAAATTAAAATGAATTTTAAAAATATAATTTCACCATTCATCAACTGGACATAAAATGCACTTTGTCAATTTTTCTTGTACATTTTCTCAAAAGTTCATTTTTTGGACCAAAATGCCCCTAGTGCACTGATCTTAGAAACTTAGGCAAAGTTCCAAATCTAATGCAATGTGTGCACTTGAAGGTGATAAATAATTAATAAAATGGTCCTAATTGACAAATAAAAGTGGGTAACAAATGTGTTATATCACCCATATCTACTTAGGTATTTCTAATGGTTGTAGCGTCCCAGCTAGCCTTTAATGCTGTATCTTTACTTTCTAGAAAGTCAAGCACCATGCTACAAACTCTGTCACCTCTCTTTCACCCCTGGCCACCACCAATAATGCTTAACATCCTGATACATCTTTGTAGCTCCTAGGTGAATAGTGTACTTACTGCAGTGTGCTTCATTTAGGATCACCTTTCTTAAGTCTTCTTCACTAGGCACACAAATTCTATCCTAATAAACTATGAATCCATCATCATTGAAACTAAAATCCTTAGTCAGATTCGACTTAACCTCTTCTTAAATCTTAGGAAGATACTCATCTTCCAACTGCGCCATTTTCAGTTCCTTCCAAAAAGCACTACTGATCATAGTAGTATAAGCACCAACTAAAGCTTTCAACGATGTATCTTGTTAAGAATCAATGAAAGACTCTATTAGTTTGTGTTCTTAAATCATCTAACTAGCTATGTGTAGCGTCTTCCTGCTCAATGCATCAGCTACCATGCTAGCTTTCCCTAGATGGTATTTTCATTCAAAGTTATAATCTTTAAGCAATTTCATCCACCTTCTCTGTCTCATATTCAACTCTTTTTGATCCATTAGATACTTTAAACTCTTGTGGTCACTGAACAGGCTAAACATTGACTCAAACAAGTAATGATGCCAGATCTTCAATGCAAAAACCACTGTTACCAGTTCTAAGTCATGAGCCAAATAGTTCTCTTTATATAGCCTGAGTTGTCATGATACATATGCCATTACTCTTCCATCTAGCATCAGTACACAACCCAAACCTCTTAGGGAAGCATCTATATACACTTCATATGATAATCTTAGATTCAAAATTATTAATAGAGGTGCAGTAGTTAATCTCTCTTTCAACTTCTGAAATGCAGTCTCACACCTGTCATCCTAAATAAAAGATTGATCTTTCTAGGTCAATTTCATTAATGGGGAAGCAATCTGAGAGAAACCTTGGATAAACCTTCGATAATATCCAGCTAATCCTAAAAAACTTTGAATCTCCATAACTGAACTAGGCAGTTCCCATTTCAACACAGTGTCAACTTTATGAAAATCAATAGAAATCCCATTTGCTGATACTACATAACCCAAAAATCTAACTTCTCTCAACCAAAACTCGCACTTAGTAAGCTTAGCATAAAGATTGTTTCCTTTAAGAATTTAAAGGACAATTCAAAGATGTTTGGCATGTTGTTCCTCATCTTCTAAATAAACTAAAATGTCATTGATGAAAACCACAACAAACTAGTCTAAATATGGTCTAAAAATACGGTTCATGTAATCCATGAAAACCGCAGGTGCATTGGTTAGACCAAATGGCATGACAAGGAACTCATAATGCCTATAACACATATGAAAGGCTGTCTTAGGTACATCTTTCTCAAAAACCTTCAACTGATGATACCCTAACCTCAAGTTAATCTTAGAAAAGATTGAGGCTCCAGCTAATTGATCTAATAGATCATCGATTTTGGGTAAAGGGTACTTATTCTTCACTATCACCTTGTTCAACTGTTGGTAATTGAAGCACAGCTGTAAACTACCATCCTTCTTTCTCATAAATAACACCAGCAAACCCCAAGGTGATATGCTCGGCCTAATGAATCCTTTCTCAAGAAAATCCTCAATCTACTTTTTCAATTCATTCAATTCTGAGGGTGAAATCTGATAAGGGGCTTTAGATATTGGTTATTTACCAAGAACTAAATCTATTAACAATTTAACTTCTCTTTTCTGAGGTAATCCATACATCTTAAAAAAAACCTCAAGAAATTCACGTACCACTCCAATCTTTTCAATACCCCCATCATATACACTGCTAGCCACACAAACTACCATATAGACGTCACACCCTTGCTTGATTAGCTTCTCAGCTTGCACAACTGATAGAAACCTAAATTGCTTAATAGCACTAGTTCCTGCCAAAGACACTAGCTTCCTAGCATAGTCTAGTATAGCATTATTAGCTGCTAGCCAATCTATACCAACTATCACATCAATCCCTTTTATGGGAATGCAAATCAGATCAATCACAGATACTTGATCCTCAAATACAATCTTAACTCTCGAACATGCTCTGCTAGTAATACTTGAGAGTCCAGAAGGCGTAGTCACTTTAATTAACATAGGTAGCTCTTTCAGTTCTAACTTCAATCTATCTACACATTCTTATAAGATGAATGAATGTGTAGCTCTCGAATCAAATAAAGCTTCAATTCTATTACCACAGACAAAAATAATACCTTTGATCAGGTTTAAAGATGCTCTGGCCTCTTCTTGTGTCACAGCAAATACTCATCCCGGAACCGTAGCACACTGCTCTGCCATCTCAACTCCGCCTTTAGAACAATTTTTGGCAATATGGCCTAGCTTCCCATACTTGAAACAGGACCAACATTTTCTCATATGAATCTGTCGTAAACACTACACTGGGGTGACCTTCTAGTGCTAAAAGTAGGAGTTGGTGTGTTCAAGGC